TATATATATATATATAGATAGATATATATATAATTGAAAAATTGCTCTCAAAGTTTCATCTGTACATTCATAACATGGGCTTAAATAAGGTATTACAATATTTTACAAATCAACCCCTAAACTTCTTCAATATTCCCTTTTTACTAATAGGACCCAAAATAAGGTCCAATTCTCAACACTCTCTCTCAAGATGAGCAAAGATATTCATTAAGCCCATCTCGTCCCAAAACCTAGACAAATATAATGAACTAAGTCCTTTACTGAGGCAATTAGCCACTTTCTCTCCAATGGCTACATGACTTAGCTACAGTAGCCTGTTAGTCAGCTTTTCCTTGATGGAGAATCTAACAATCTCCACATGTTTGGTTATATTGTGTTGCACCGAGTTGTTAGCAATGTTGATTGTTGACTTATTGTTGCACCACAACTTCATTTGAGTTCCTTGGTCCACCTTAAGCTCGCCCAAAAAGGTTGTCAGCCACATCATCTCGGCAACTCCTAAGGCCATGGCCTTGTACTTTGTCTCTGCTTTCGACCTCGCTACTACAAACTGTTTCTTGCTCTTCCAAGAGACCAAGTTGCCCTCTACGAACATACAATATCTTGATGTGGATCTTCTGTCATATGCACAACTCGCCTAGTTAGCATCACAAAAGTCCTCAATGTTCCTGAAGATCAACCCCTTTCCTGGTGTACTCTTTAGGTATCTCAGAATCCGATACACTCCATCCATATGACCCTTCCATTAATCATGCATGTAGCGGCTGCAAAAGAGATGTCGGGTCTAGTGCGACACAGATAAATCAGACGGCCCACCAATCTCTAGTACCTCTCACAATCAATAAATTATCCTACCTCTGCACTCAACTCGGTCTCTGGTCAATTGGAGAGATTGCAGGTTTGCATCCCAACATGTCTATTTCCGCGATGATTTAATACATATTTTCTCTGGAACAAGACCATTCCCTCAGGTTCATGGGCCAATTTAATCTCAAGAAAGTATCTGAGCTGTCCAAGATCCTTCACCTCAAATTTATTGCTCAATATTACCTTTAGGTGGGTAATCTCTACCTCATCATTACCGTTGACAATGATGTCATCAACATATACAACAAGTATAGTGGTGTGAGATTCATGTTATTGAAAGAATACAGTATGGTCTGCAATGATCTATTGATATCTCATGCCCACCATTGTCTTTTTAAATTTGCCAAACCAGACTCGAGGAGACTGCATCAAGCCATACAACAACTTCCAGAGCATACACACCATGCCCACTATTTGGATTGTACAAAATCCTGGTGGTATTTCTGCATATACCTCATCCAGTAACTCACCATGAAGAAAAACATTCTTCACATCAAGTTGGTATAATCTCCACCCACCATTCATTGTCAAAGAAACTAGTGTCCTCATTGGGCTCGTCTTTGCTACTGCTACAAATGTTTCATCATAGTCAATATCATATACCTGACTGTGCCCTTTGCTACCAATCGTGTTTTACACCACGTTCCCTTCTGAAGTTTGCTTTACTGCGAAGATTCACTTGCTTCCAATTATTTTTTCCCCATTGGTAATAGCACTATATCCCATGTTTAATTTTTATTGAGAGCCCTAAGCTCTTCATACATAGCAGCTTTCCACTCAGGATCCTCCATAACAACATGCCTAACATATAGGTACAAAGACAGTTTCCAAAGATGCAAAAAATGCTCCATATAAAAGTGATATGTTAGGTATGAAGCAAAGTTAGCAATCTCATGTTTCCACCCAAAAAATCAGGAGGATGTCGAACATTGTTATGAGAGATCCACCTTACAATTGAGGGGTTAGAAGAATAAGGAGGTATCATATCACTAGAGAGTTTTGAGTCAGAGGTAGATGGTATACATGTCTCAAGGGTCGGGAAAAACCGAGATAAGTGACTAGCTGATAGAAGTGGCACTGCAGGTACCGTTCTCTCATTCTGCTTCTTTCTCTGTGTATATACCGTTTAGCTCACCTTCAGCCTGAATCCCTTCACTCTCCTCATTTTTTGGTTTCTCAGCTGATTAATCCCACATCACAGGATAAGGCATTGCTCCCACTTGTATCTCTCTCTCATCATTGCTACTCACCCCGACTTGCCTCATATCTCCAGTATCTGGCAAGTCACCGAAGGGTGAGGTCATCTCTTAGGTGTAGTATGGTTTAAACTCGCTAAATGACATATTCATGCTCACAAAAAGACTCTTCTCGATCGAATTCCAACAGACATACCCCTTCTGTGTAGCAAAATAACTTACGAACACATATTTCACAGATCTGAGATCCAACTTCCCTACTGATAAAAGGATCCCGCTATTATCCACTTTCAACATGTGACAAAGAGACTTCCAATCCAACACCCTTGAAGACATCCTGACGATTAATTGAGAAGCAGTCAAAATCATTTACTTCCATAAGAGCTTTGGGACATTCATTGTGATCATCATGCTTCAGACTACCTCTAGAATGTGTTTATTCTTCCTCTCTGCTACTACATTTTATGTCGATGTGTATGGATATGTGATTTGATGATGTATCTCTTGGGCTGAAAAATATCTCCCAAATGCTTTGTTGGTATAGTTTGTCTCATTATCAGACCTCAATACCTTCATTATTGCAACATATTGAGTCTGGATTGTTTTGTAAAAGTCTTTAAAGCAAGCAAACACATCACACTTATTTTTCATCAGATAGAACAAAGTAATACGAGAAAAGTAATCAATAAAGGTCACAAAATATCGATAACATTTCATAGAACTTGTAGAATAGGGTCCCCAAATATCAGAATGTATCAAGTCAAAAACACCAGAACTCCTATTCCAGAGCTAATGTAAGAGCTCCTAATAAGTTTGTCAAGCTCACAAGCATCACAAACAAGCTTTTGTTTATTTATATTTTCATATAAAGAAAGATGCAACCGACTCAATAAATTAAAACAAAAATGTCTCATGCATATGTAATGTAACAACAACACATCATCTACACTCCCAAATTTTCTTACTCCAGCACTCTCTATCATGGATGTCAAAGCGAAGTACATCCCCTCCCGGTCCAAGTACCAGAGTCCACTATGCCACATCAGTCCCAAGTGTTCGGCCTATACCTTTCTCTTAGAAGATCAACTTAAAAATATCAAAAGAAACAATATATTTTAGTTGAAGAATAATGACACTAATAGATAAAAGTTTTAATAGAAAAGAAGATGCATGCAAAAACATTGGACAAAGCCATGTACCCTTACCAACTATAGGTTGTGTTGTACCATCAGAAGTCTGGTGTTCTCTGATACTATTAGAGTATAGAAAGAAAACTCACTAACAGTACTTGTCACATATCGAGATGCACCAGAATCCAACATCCATTATGATAATCCTGTAGTGAAAATAATGGCAAGAGCATGTGCATCACAAGTACCTTTTATCAGAGTGAGCATAAGTGACAATGTTATCCTTTGATGACAACTAGTTGGAAGTCTCCTCAACCCCATCTCCTGTTGTCTTCTGCTTCTTCTTCAACAACTCCAGACACTCATAATCCTCATTTGTAAAAATACACATCTCTCCCTCTGTTGTCATTAGAGTTGCCCGGTAGTCCCCCTTTCCACCTTTTCGACCACCACGGTCATAACCAGAACCTCCACTCTGTCCATGTCGACCTTTATGTCTCTCCTTAGGTGGCCTAAGACAGGTCTTGCTCATATGCCCAACTTCACCACAGTTGTAGCACTTGCGACTCTCCCTTTAGACACCTATCATGCCTGAGCTCGAGGCAACTAAAGCTAATCGTGCACCTGAAAGTTAGTTTGGCTCAAATGTAGCTTCATGTGACTCTTCTCATGTATCATCGTAGCAATGGCTTCATCCAGTGAAGGGATAGTAGCTTGAGCTAGGAGGACATATCTCCTCTAATCAAAAGGTCAAATTCAGATGGGCCAGAAACAACATAGTTCTCATATGTGTAAAGATCCTTCTTTATTGCACTCTGAATCGCCACAACTTAACATCAAATAGAAGTGAGACAGTCGCTCCAACTCTATGGAGTACTTCTGAATCGATCAATCACCCTGAACCACTGCCTCTATCTCACACTGAATTTGGAACCACCCTCATGTGATTTTCAGCTCCAACATAGATCTTCAGCTTCGCTGAGATGTCGCTCACCTTTTGAATGTCGTCTACTGATGAAGCAATTGATGGAACCATCGAGTTGAGTAGCCATGTGTAAAGCAAGGCATGTGTGGTCTCACTCATCCCTCTCAACACTGTCACTATTTGGCTCGACCCCGTCAGATCTCCCTCTTGTATCTTCCCTACTAGGAAACCTCGATCCGACGTGACTAAGTCAGATATGTGGTTGGTCTATCAAGTCTTAGATCCATAGGAGGGAGATCTAGCTTCGTCTATGTTAGAGCACATGCTAAGGTAGCGGCTCCTGTCAGACGCTAGTTCCCTGTACGAGCCAGACCAAGACTTTCAGAATTTCAGGGTCTGTCTTCCCCAGATGTTCCAATCCTTTACCTCCCGCACTATCTCTATCTCCTAACATCCTCAACCACTAGAATCCAAGTTAAGATCACTCAAATCACACACAAACTCCATTTAAATAAAACTCTTCCAATGTTTTGATATTTTTTTATGCTTATAAATCATAATTAATAAGGAGAGAGATTGGTTCTCACAAAAACACAAAAAAGAAAGAGAAATCTTCCAATACTGTACTAGTTTCTAATGTCGAGTCATTTTTAAGGAAAAGAATTCCATGATTTCCTACCCTCTCTGTCACTCACTCATTCACTAAACTTAACTATTATCTTATGAAATTAGTTGATTGTTTAATAAATAAATTTGTATTTACCAGACTTAAAATTTAGGATTATGCTCTTTTAACTAATAAGCCTTTAGTTTATGGTTATCCAAATTTGACTTGGTAGTCTATGTAGGTCATCACATTTGTCAGTGAATGTGGCACAGCCCACATATTTAATTACCCAAAAATTTTCTTAGTGAACTAAGGAACACAAAGATGAAGCCTTGATCAATGAAGGCTATCAGCCAAGGCAATCTTGATTGGCCAAAAAACTGTTTGATCAATCAAACCCTTCATTCAAGTCACATCTCCAGTTAGTGGCTGACACAGACAACTGAATTAGTCTAATGTTAAAGACACATTGTGATTAGAAAATTTGCTTTTGTTTGTGAGAGATGCTTTTCAATCTTAACCCCCAAGCTTGGTAGCACTTAATTTGTCATTTTAATGGTGTATTGTAAAATAATAAACATAAAATAAAGAATGCACCAAATAATTCTAGACTTAAAAAGCATTTTTGTTTTTTGGTTCACCCAAACATAGCATAGGCTTTCTAGTTCTGTGGATTTGAGTGTTCAAAGATAAAAAACCACAAATAACTAAACTAGGTTGAATGTGGTAGAAAAAAAAAGGAGATGATTTTATGATAAAACTACGGAGGAAAGAATAAGTAATAATTAGATTGTAAAAATGGTAAACTTATAGGCAACAAGGTATTAAGAAAAAAAAAATTCCAAGGTGGATTGGTCTATGCTAACGATAATAGAAGTTAAACAAAAATAGCCGGTAGAGAAAAGTACACTGAAAACTAGGAAAGAAAGGGGGATGGATTAACATAACTACAAGAAGGCTAAGCTGCCACATAAAGGAGCAATAAAAATATATATTCATAGAAGTGACTCCAATAGCTGAGATAAGGCAAATATTAAAGATAATTAAAATGACCATAATAGAGTTGATTAATGTTAGTGAAATCAAGTTTGAAAAATAGAATGATATAATGCAAAAAAAAAAAAACATTTATAAAATAGTAAGCTGTCATCATTATATGTTTAAGATCAAATTTTTAAAAATAAAGCATAGCAATAACTGAAATTTTCAAGAGCATACCCCCCCCCCCCCCCCAAATGTTTATATGTATGGCAAGCCCATGTATGTAAAATTCTTCAAAGGACCAAATCAAGAGGCTTCCTAAATATATGAAATACTGCAACACAAGATATTCCGAGATACTGCAGTTTGTCTAATGAATGTAAATTTATCACTATTTTACTGATACTTCAAAAAAAAAATCATGTTCTTAAGAGACTTTGCATTTGGTGCCTTTAACATGTTTTCCAACTTATTACAATTTACTTCATCGATATGTTCTTGCAAAAACATGCTCATATTCCAATGCCCGCACAAATAAACCATTTGAGGCCGAATTACGTTAGTAATAAAAAAATAACTGTTGGTTTGTCTGACAAATTAATCTTACACTTGGGCAGAGCTACAACAAATTCAAAAAAAAAAAAAAACATCTAATAAGTCTAATATTATCATTGCTAACAGCTTAGAGTGTCAATTAGTTCCATTTGAATCTTTTTTTTATTTTAAATGTAGCTAAGATCACTTGATCTGCAGGATTTATAAACAGCAAAAATAAAAACTAATCGAGATCTGTCAAAATTAGCAAGAATAGAATATCATATCTAACCTTGCTCACAAGCTTTCCCTGGGGTCCAGTTTGCTTGGTAACTAGAATTTGCCCCAGCATATTACCTAAAACATGTAGAAAGGAGCTATTATGTAATAAGATAATTGCTACCTGCTTAGTTCACAAAATTCTGCTGTAAAAATTTTCATGAATATTTAAGAAACGCCAAACAACCATAGTCTATACTCTTAAAATACTATAGGGAAATCTACATTCGTAGCACACAATTCCTATGTATTTACATATCTCACACCTAAACTTCCATATTTACATATATAACACTTCGGTGCTCTGAACGTTTGAATGAAAAGGTGTATTTATAGTGCTATTTTTTATGTGACGTTAAATAATTGAGCACTATGCATGTAAATTTGTAAGTTTAATTGTGATATGTAATTTTTTTATGCGATGTTAAAAAAATGAGCACTATGCATGTAAATTTGTAAGTTTAATTGTGATATTTAATTTTTTTATGCGATGTTAAAAAAATGAGCACTATGCATGTAAATTTGTAAGTTTAATTGTGATATGTAAGTTTAAAAGAGGAGGTTGGAGAAAATGATGACAGAAAATTTAAATGCTTGTTTTTTGAGTCCTTAATGGACACAAGCTGAAAGCAGTAAGACCAATAATAACAAAAAAATAAGTCATTCAAAAGAAATGAACAAAAAATGATGATTCATAAACCATCCCCAAATTGTTGGAATAAGACTAATAATGATAATAGTGGACAAAAGCTGAACATTATTAGCAGAAGTACAGAACTACCTCCTCAAAATCAACTTAGACATCTATTCATGAAAATCAAAAATACGGGCACTCAAAACATGATGTAATTTCTGAAGCTTTACGGTTATTACTAAAACAAAAAGTGGGGAAAATTATGAAACCAAAATGCAAATTGCATTTTAGCCTAAAAAAAATACTCAAACAAAGTAGGATACTTTTCACCATGACCATTAAGTCAACTTTTGTCACATCTATGATATTTTATGTGGCAAAATTCAGTAACTGTTTAACATCAGGAAGGCGAATGTTCCAACATGTCAAAATCACATCTTTGAAGCAAAACTATGGGAGAAGTAATATGTTTTTCCCACAATACTCTAAAACTACTGTCTTTAATGAATTCAAGACATGCACCCTATTCATTCATGCTTACATAGATGCAACAAAAAAGGAACAAAAAGAGAAAATCAATTAATTTACCAGCTATATGTTCCACCTCCTCAGCTTTCACAATATGCACGCCACCCTTTAGTCCACTTTTGAATGTCCCTAAGCCTCTTCCACCGGCAAGAATTTGACTTTTGACAACCAACTACAGAAATGTAACAAAGTTCAGGTCACATTTTTGGAATATTTACATACGTAGCACTCAATTTTTATGTATTTACATATCTAACATATAAACATCAATTTTTTACATATATTCCACCTTCCCTATGCACGTAAAGGTGTATTCTTTTGGGGGAAGGTTGATCCCAGAGAGCTATATGGGTGATTCGAACCCACGACTTCATAGTGGAAAACTAAAAACTCACCACTATGTTGTGGGAAGTGCACGGCATAGGTGTATGTCACTTAAAAGTTAAAAAAGTGGTATTTTTTATGTGATATGAAAGATTTTGGCTGCATAAATGTAAAAAAAACAAAATTTGGGTATTACATATTCAAATACAAAAAAATTGGGTGGTATTTTTAAATGCCCCTAATTTTTTCTAAGTTTGAGAACCGAAAAAAGTTATTCCTATTTGTAATAGAGCTCAGGTGTTCAAGTTGATTCATTTTACCGCATAATATTTATACCTCTTTGTCATTAGGGAAAACATTCTTCAAAGCCTGCTTCACCTCATCAATGGAGGACACAGCAACACCCTTTGGAACATTTATCCCATACTTGCTCATCAACTCAGCACCCTGAAAAATCAATTGTTAAATTTCAAGAGATGAAATCACGAAAGCACTAAAAAAAAAAAAAAAAAACAACTTACAACCTATTAGAAAAACATGCAAGGATATAAGGAAAGCATCAAAATCAAAGATTCAACGTCTCCCAAATCTTACAGAAAAGTTAACCAAATTTTATAAGAACAACAGAAGAAACTTAAGAAAAGAATTGTTTCTTCATTTATATCGAAACTGCTGAGATCGTGAACAAGTTTACACCCAGATCAAAATCGATAGTAAAAGGCCAACCTGGTACTCATGGATGTTGAGCCGCCGTAGCTGTTGTTGTTGCCATTTTCCGGCGAGCGAGATGGATCGGGAAAGAAGCTTGCCAAGCGAACCCCTGACCATAATTTTTCCGATCGGATCTGCCCAACACTAGACTGGAACGATCAAAGAAGCCCTGTTCGGGGGAAAGAATGCCAGACCTAACTTCTGTTCCCCGTCCCCTCCACTTTAAGGTGGCCTTGGGAACAAAAAGAAAATTCATAGACTATATCAAAGAAATTTCTCACACAAATTCAATGGCACAAATGTAAATTGAGCTCCATGGCAACTAGAGATGGACCAATAAATCTTATTGGGTTAATCTACGGCGTGTGTCCTTATTGGGTCAATCTACGGCGTGTGTCCCAATTTAGTTGAACATAGTTTTAAATTATTTTAAAATTCATTCATATTTGATTTTAAGTGACCTATACACATGTTTAAGTTCGTTTAAAACCATTTTTTTAAGGGGAAGGCTTAATTTTGATTGAGTGAGCCTTAGTTAGTCATTATGAATTGACATGATCAAATTGGGTTGATAAGGTCTATCCTTGACTTAGGAGTAAGACAGTGGGTAGTCTAAAAGATAATATGAAGAGTCAAAAATTTCTAAACAAAGTTTTATTTTTATATTGTCCAAGGATCTTGAAGATAATCTAAGCACACCTCAAGTTTTAATGGTGGATTGGGTTTGATTTTCTTAACAATCGTCCTTAGCTTCAAATGATTTTACTATTATCCTTTTAACTTTGTTTGATGAGTTAGAGTTCAATTGAATGATTATAAAATCAAAGAGAAGTCCTAAGAGAATCAAGGTTTAATATGGGTTAATCAAATGGTACAATCACCAGTAGACTAATTAGAAAAACCTACTAAGAGATCCTATAATGGGACTAGATCCTAAAGATAATGGCTAAACTAGTAGCATAGTTATAAAACTTGTGAAAAATATATGTTCAACACATTCAAGGGTTAGTGGCATTCCTCTTGAAGGAGTTCATCATCAAGGCATTAAAAAATTTGCTAATTGAAGTCTCTAATATAATTGCTAATCAAAGTCTATAATCTACGTCAAGAAGCTTCTCAATTGATGTTTCTAAAGAAGCAACCAATATGGCAAAAAAAAAAAAGTGAAAATCCCAAAAAAAATTAAAAGAGAGATCTATGAAGATGTCTACAAAAGATAAGGAAATAGGTTCATCAAGGCCATCTTAGATTATTGAATCTCTAAGAAGAAGTGTGGGACTTTTATACAGGTGATTCATCAATTCCAATCAACTCATTTGAGGCTAAAGCATGTCGTGACATATCTTAGTGTAGAACCACTAAAAGGATTTGAAATAAAATACAACATTTTTTCTTAAAATTACCCAACGTAGCTTAAAGCACTATCAACATGTTGATTTGTTAGTTTTGGAAGATAACTAGGGAAAAAAGGAAGAAGAACCCCAAGTTGGTGGAAGTACATGCTAGCAGGAGAACGCTGTCATTTAAAAATTGAACTAATAAGACTAAGAACGTTATTACTATGTAAAGTGGGGTTAAGCTTCTCATGCCATTTACATTATAAATATTGTGTTCCTCCAATAATTAAAATGTAATGAATAAGGATTTTGTATATGTTTTATATGTCTTTGATGACAATATTTTGGATGACATAAACAACAACAATAAAAAAATTAAATTATGTAATAATTTAATTTTTTGTTCATGATCGTGGAAACATTAAAGAATCTATTTTTAATAGTGCCACCCCTATTTACAATTCATTAAGATGAACTATCATGTTGCCTTCCCTCAAAAAAAAAAAAAACAAATAGAAGCTACAAAAAAAGCATGAAATGATATAAGACTATAATAATTTAAGACACTTTAGATTTCTTTGTAGAATTTTTTATAGCAATTTTGTTTTTTAAATTCATAGAGTAATAACTTAAAGTCTAAATTTTTTCATAGATATTATAAATAGTAAATATCTTATGAACTTAATTATTTCCTAAATTTTTATTTTCGTTAATATTTCCCTTATCTCTAATTCTCTAGTGCTCAATGTTTAGCAATTGACTATTAATAATTTAAATTAATTAAATAAAGAAATATTCTCTAGCTTAATCATCTCGAATGATCACATAATACATTTTTTATTCTAAGTATAATATAGATAATAAAATTTATTAAATTTTAATTATTCAATAATCAAAAGTATAAGTTTAAATAAAATCTATTAAACTTTATTTTCAAGCATTTTTTTTTCCTCTTTTTTACTTTTCTCTTGGTCTCAATCCCTTAATTTTTATTGGATTTTTTCTTTTGTTTTTTCAATTGATATCTTTTTTGTTTCTACATTTTTTTTCCCTAAAGGACCATCTTCATTAGATAAGAACTCTCAACTTTAATTTAACCTTCCTTAATTTATTAAATATATCAATATATTAATAAATTTCTTATCTACTGTAATATTAGATAAGAATTCTCAACTATAATATTTTATGAAAATTAAAATTTTAAATGTAATTTTGATACCTCTTATTTACTTTGAAATCTAATGTTCAAATTATCTCTAGTCTTGATTATAGGTGTCAATTTGGGAGATTTTGTAACAAAACAAGTTTCAGAAATGTAGCTAGTCTTTGAACCTAAATGTAACTACAACATAATTAAATAACTAAAAGGAAATATAACATAATAAAACACAATGTAAAATAAAAGGACACCACAAAAGATAACAACATAATAATCCTCCTTCTCGCACTCATCATCATGTACTTACTTCATTGGCTGAGTCGACACTATCTAATGTTGTAATGGAGGTGCAGTGGAGAACTAAACAACATAAGGGCCCATATTCAACTATTAGTGGGCAACATGCTCAATAAGGCATGAATTAAAACTCTAACATGTAAAAATATTATTTTTAGTGTTGATCAATGTTGTGGTTAAACTTCTAACTCATCTCTTGTTGCCACCACTATAGTCCAATCATGCGCCCATCGGGAGTTGATGCGTGTAAAATGTGTTGTCGTGTTCATATATTTTTCATACCCTTTTTAAACCATTTTTATGTTTTTTTGGGATATATGCAATATTTTATGTAATATATAAGGGGAATTCGAGGCTTGGAGCAATTGGAGCAAAAAATGAGCTAACTCAGCAAGCAAGCGCAGTAGTGTTAATTGATAGCGCCTCAATGCTTGTACCAGATCCTCTATGTGTAAAATCTAGAAAAGGAAACATTCCAATGCTAGGTCCCAAGTGCCTCAACGCTTAGTACCAGCGTTGTTGTGCTAAAAGTGTCAGTGATGCTTTGTCAAATGCCATATTAATGATTCTTAGTCACAATGGCAGAGTTGTCGCGCCCCAAGCCAGTGCTCTGACATGAGCACACCAGTGCAACCATGCCTCCCACTGACTTAAGACAATTTTGGTTGTTTGATGATGGTTAAACCAAAGGAAATGCATATGATGGCTCTCAGACTCTTCAGAAATGCTCTCAGATACATTATTGGAGAACAGAGGAAGGTTTATGCTTAGCATAGGATTTATGTAGGAGTGATTTTGAGTAAGAGTTTTGTCATTTCTTCGTATGTAAGGAAGGGAGTGATTGTAGTCAAGCAAGGAAGGCATTTTTGTGGCGATCAAGCCTTCGTAACACTGATTTCTTTCTATCATTTTTTCATTCCTTCAACTCTTATATTTTTGTTTGATTAATTAAATGTACATCATATTTTTATTTCAAAGCATGCATAACACCTAAATACTCTCTCTGACTTGGATTGGAACACTTTTACATCTAAAAAAGTCCAAGTTAGATTTTTTAACTTTTGAATGATGAAGTTGTTAACTTTTGAATGATGAAGCTGTTGTTTTAACCTTCTAAACTTAATTTAAATCTAAACTAGCCATTTAAATAGTTAAATTTACTATAATTTAGGATTATTAGAAGGAAAATAGAAGTACAACTAGGTTAAAATATAAAAAAAAAATTATTGCAATAGGAATATTATTGATAAATTCTTACATTTTTTTTTGGGGAAAGTGGATGCCCGAGAATTCTTACAGGGTTAGAAAAATCTAATTATAGTATGGGATTTTAAAACTTATTATATCTTGGAAGAGAGTAATATATCTTGATTGAAAACTACAATAAAAAAAATTAATTGGAGGAATTTACACTTCATTAAACTAATTCAAGGGAGGCATTCATACAATTTAGATAACTCTTTTCATTTAATATAGATTTTTATTTTGAAATTAGAATTTAAAACACTTTAAAAAGCTAAAAAATATTCAAACTTTTGAACTAAATATAGGATTCGTAAACTAATAATTAGATTATTTGAGAATTTAACTTGTTCCTTATGGGATCAATATACAAACTTATAATCCGTATACTACTTGATTGATATATATACTTGCGTGATATTGAGTTCTTCACTGCATATCAGGATAAGAGTCTATAGATGATTTACCATGGAGGACAAAAAGTACTATCTCAGGAAGTAGAGAGATGGGAAGAGATCTCACCCACCTCAAATGTGAAGTTCTGGTATAAGATCCTTTCCTTAGTTAGTGAGATATTAGAGAATAAATGTGCTTCTAATGGGTTCATAAGAGCTCTAGCTTTAATAAACAATACATGGATAAGAGAAGGGTGTCCCAGACCCAAGGTGGTGCTACCCTTAATCTTGTTCAATATTGAAGTGTGTTTGATATTAATTATATATATGGATATATTCTATTGAATGCAAAAGTTTAGGACTACCTTTTCCTTGGTTACCACTTTGATATTTGTATTGGGCAGTAGCTTGACATAAATAAAGTAATGCTAGGCCTTTGCCTCAGTGATCATTATCGAGCCAAAAAAATAATAAGCCTCTAGGCATAAGTAGATATCTAGTTATAAATCTTATGATCTCTTGATAATTGGGGCCAATATTAATGTAGGCAGAATACTCATCAAAGTTTTATCCTGTAATCCATACATAAAATTTATTGTAATAGAATCAAGGAAAACCCACTTTCCCTAAACAAATACTTTTGTTATCTTTGTGTTCCTTTGTGTTTGCAAAGAATTCTCAGACCACAAGCATACTGGTTGCCTCATGTTATAAACAAAATTTCCCCATCTTCTACTAACTATGAGACATTGAATCCTACCCTAAGGGTTGAGGAAATCTCACTTCGATATGAGCTTTTTGTGAATCAAAACTTTACT